GAATGTGCACGCGAGTGCATCGGTGAATACAGGAGGAGGAGGAGGACGAGGAGTAGGATGAAGATAAGGATGACGAAGAGGAGAAAGTAAGTAGTGCGTGCACGTAAGGGTATGCACTGACACATTAAGTTCTTTACCACTAACCCTGTAAGACATCTAGGGCAATAATTCACGCCTTCTTGTGGGACACCAGGTGTCATATCCTAGTGTCAGGTCGTGCAAACAAGTAGGTAACTGATTCACCTGGTTTATCACCCCCAGCAAAGCAAATGGATAGTCTTACCCGTTTGATGGTACCTCCCTTTGAATACCATTCGAGAGTAGGAAGCATGCCCGTTTGTCACCGGCCCAGTTAGTCATAGGCCCAGTTTGTAAAAGGCCTCGACTGTGCCCCGCATGATGGAAGTTATAACTTGCACTCTCAAAAAGAGTAAATTGATGATTGATTTGTTGTAGGAATTAAATTATATTTTTCAATTGTTTTTAATAAAAGAACATTCATTGTTGAAATTTTACAGAGTAATTAAAATTTGCTTTGATTTATATGCAAAGAGGAAGAAATATTGAACAACACAAGCTGAATTGACATTTTTGAGGGACTATCTCTACACCGCCAATTTGAAGGTGGAGCATAAAAAACTTCAGTTACAACTACAGTGTTAAAGTGCTGTAATTATGACTGTCATCTACACTCAAATACTTAAATGAAATTGTGACAAACTGGGCCACTGACAATCTGGGCACCCCCGTGAGAGTACGCGATAACGATTTCCAATGTTTTATTAACAAATAAACACTTAATGCATTCGGTATATTTTTTTTGTAGTTTTATTGTGGGTGTTTTTTGTTTTGTTTTTTTTTTACTTTGTATTGCTTCGCATGTGTTTGTTGAAGCATATGTGTAAATTTTGGGTAAACAAGAAAACAAAGTAAAATATCATTCATTTGGTAAGGGGGGATAAAGAAAGACACACAGATGGGAGCAATAGAGGGAATGAACGGATTAGGACTTCCCAGTGGCGTCCTTTAAGCGCCCGCTTTGTCAGTGTGCGCATTCCAGGGTTTTAGTTTAGTTTTAGTAAGCTTTTACGGCGCTTCACCTGGAAAAGGTTATGTGAGCGTCAAGGGGTGAATGTCAACAGAGAATTCCAAACAGGATTTGCATCGGGAGTTTATTTGTAAGTTTATGTGTGTGTGTGTGTGTGTGTGTGTGTGTGTGTGTGTGTGTGTGTGTGTGTGCGTTTGCCGGGTGGAGGGAGGGTAACACAGGAAGATAGGGACAGATAAACTGAGGGCGCTGGAGAGGGAAATAAACGTGTGAAGAACGCATTTAAGAATACAGAGGGGTCTAATATCTTGTAGCCTTTTCTCCAGCGTGGCTCCAATGTTCTTGACACTATTGAGGAATCCTCGAGAGTCCGCTTTATGAAATCGTGATTCTTAACCGTTACCTGAGAGAAAAGCTATTACTGAGGGAATTGTCCTTGGATGAGATGCATAATCTAAAACGAAATTGAATCAAGAGAAGAAAATTGGTGTCTGGTTAGTTGGTTGATCAACAAGAACACACAGGGGCAAAGCGTCTATATAATCAAATAATCACTGCCTCCCTTCCTAATTTTGAAACATTGTCGCTGTCAAATTCACCCTTAAACGTAAAACTCTTAAATGAAATGTAAAAAGACGTTCGTAATCAACAATGAGTATGCCTAACATTCAAAACGGTTTCACGGCCACAGAAATAGCCTCTTCACCCCTCTCGGGCCACTCCATATGCAGTCGCAAGCTTTGATTAAGTAAGCTTAAAGTGAGGCTGGAAGAGTCTACCAATAGAGTTGAAGGGAACATGTGCATAGCAGTCAAAGCTGTTTCATTGCCACATATACCCTGTTCACCCCTTTGGGGCCACAGTTAAAATCAATCACATGCCCTGATTATGTAATCTAACTAACACTGGTCGAGTCTACCTCACAGATATGAGGGGAACTAACTCCTAACAATCTCTTGACTGCTACATGTGCTTGTTTTTTTCCCTCGACTTTTTACCGTCCTATAATCAGATCGTGACCTCGATTATGACACCAGCTCCTGGCCGCGAAAGGCTAACAAAAACAGCCAAATGTGAATTTTAAAAAATGATAATAGTCTTGCTCTACCAAAGAGTTAGACTCACTGGTAGATCTTTAACAAATAGATCTAGTACTGACATCTCTGCTTCTTTGCTTTGTGTTTATGTATTCACATCTAAAGTTAAATTTAATTTTAGTTGGAACTGATATTTAGTAAGATACTTTCCCGATTATTTTGGCGGTTGAACATACAATGTGAATTCCGGATTTGTTTTCATTCACACAACTTAAGAGTCGCCGCCTCGAGTAAGATTCTTGTGTGATATCTACAGGCCATACCTGGTCCCGTTTCATTTTGATTACCCTGTCAAACAAGTCAGCCTTCGCCCCTGAGAACACAGACTTTAGCTGGCTAATAAGAGTGCAATGAGCAAATCGTCACTACTAAGCTGCTTAGTGAAACGTAGTCGTGAGATCCCCATTACGATAATAGCAATGGCAGGGGCGAAGGCTGACTTGTTTGACAGGGTAATCAAAGTGAAACGGGACCAGATATTATGGCCTGGAGATATCAAACAAAAATCTTACTCGAGGCGGCGACTCTTAAGTTGTGTGAATGAAAACAAATCCCGTATATCCGGCCGGAGGTACAGTTCATTTACCTAATCATCATCTGACATTGATTATAATTGTTGTCCGGATTCTTTGAACAGGGCTTACGCAACGGAAAGCCAAGATGTGGACGTACTCCTCTATCCGTTGCAAATAACCGATGGCGGATCACCCCTTTGAGAGACGAGACCGAGTCACTCTCTTAGCGTACACGTTTGGTGATTATTATGTTAGCTATCTTGCCCGGCGTAGGTCTGAATTCAGTGAGCCGAACATCAATCTTATAATTCCTATCCTTCATCGAGGGGATAGGCATAGGCCAATGCTCACATCGAACCGAAAAGGGTACTTCAAATCCTCTCTCTTCACATGCTGCACCCGACTAAAAAAATCATACATTCTATCCCAGATTTGAACTGGAGACTATGTGCGGGTGGGAAGGGTGAGCAGTCGGATGGGGAGAAGGCAATCAAACATTTCCTCAATTTCCTACATTACAAAGCCTTCAACACGGTCTCCGCAAACGCCCTACAAACTAGAATAACGGGGGGGGGCAGCCAAGAAATAAGGGGACTTTT